ATTATATTATCACAACTTCTTCAATATTAAAAATCATAAGGAAGAAACGAAAATAATTAGAATGAATAATAAAAATGAAAAATAACCAATGTAATATATTTAAGTCGCACAAATTTGTGTTAAGCGTTTATAATTAAGATGGGCTTCGAAAAATATAATTTATGGCGTTAATTAAGGTTTGTAAAAAAAAAAGAAAAAAGAAAGAAAAAATTAAATTAAGAGAAATAATTTTTTTTTCATTATTATTATTCCTTTTCTTAATTCTGTTTAATAAATTCCCTTTGGTATTTAATTACTGCTTGGATTGTGTAAATGGCAAATATATAAAGCAAATGCTTCTCTTTCATAATCAAATTTAAAATTAATATGTGTGAAAGGTATAACAAGATTGTAGGTTAGGTTAGGTTGGCACGGCCATCCGAGGATACACCTAGGCAACTTGGGCCCGTTTTGACGCTGCGGGATCTTCATATTCCCATCCTCACGTGAACCAGCCCGAGTCCTTTATAAACCAGTTTAGGTCCCTGACAGTTACATTCGTCCGTAACTCACCGAAAGAAATGGAACCCAAGCAACCTTCGCCTTCCCCGTGCTAAAGCCGGGCACGAACATAGGAAATGAACCAACAAGATTGTAACTTCGTTGAAAATTCAATCATAACATCGCCTTTAAATATTTCTTAAATATTTTTTTTTATAATTCCTAACTAACAATAGGCTTGTACATTTAGCTGGAAGAAGGGCAATAACTGACTTTAAGAAAATTGTTTAAGAAGTTCGTGTGTAGACCTATGCAAAGGACGGAGTCAGATTTTTGATACAACTCTCTCTTTAATTTTCAAGATCCAGGATTGCATACTATCAGGGAATATTTTGTCTCACTTTTACTTGATGAAAAGCTAGTTTATCAAAAACAAAAACTGTAATTATCGAATTTTTTGGTTTCCTAGTAATTTCTACTTTCCGTGTATCTTCAAATTGCATGTTGATATAAAATTTTTATATGGTATTTTAACGAAACTCGTAATATCGTTTTTCTTTTCTTATACAAGAACGAACAACTATTGAAAAAAAAAGAATGAAAATTATTACATATACACATTACTTAATATACATGGATTTAAAGTAGAAATCGCCACAAAGAAATTGAAAATGCAAAATGAATGATTGGCTTCAAATGAAACTATTTTGAGAGAGTGGAAGTGTAAAAGGGAGAAAAAGAACATAAGATATACTAGACCAGAGTTCCGTAGATGAAAAATTTTTGAAATGTAAAAAGATTTTTAACATTAAACTCTAAAATTGGGAAAACTTTATTTTTTCCTCTCTATGCTCAAATAAATTAATGTAAAAGAACTTGAAGGTTAATGAAAGAAAATACTTTATATAACAGGTGCTTTTAAACAATATCATGGTGTAATTTAAATTGAACCATTCAGAATACTATACTTGGAAATAAATAAGATCAAAAAAGAAGATTGGAAAAAAACAAAGCGAAGATGTAAAATCAATTCGTGTATTATGTAATGCAAAGATGGTGTAAGACCTACGAGTATAAGAAAGATTACTTTGATTTTCTTAAAAATTTCAATTTAAAAATAGAATTTACTTATTATTTTCGTTTCTTTTTTTTAAGAGAAAGAGTAAAAAATTAACGTGTCTAACGGATAATAAAAATTTCACGTTTCTAAATCAGTTAGAAGTTTAGAAAAAAAAATAATTTTTAAGATTTTATTGTATTGCATTTAATTTGTTTTTAGTCTATTTTGTGGACAGGCCATAAGGTTTCTGTGAATAATTGATTAAAGGAAAGGTTCTTTTCCCACAATTCATACAATTCTCATATAATTTTGGTTGTATTGCAAAAAAACAAATGTAGATTTAACACGTTCATTTAAACAATTCGGTAACTAAATTTGTTCTGCTGAATAAGTCAAATTTATTTAAAATCTCTATTTTTTGAACCAGCCTTAAAATTTCACATAAAATGTCTAAAAAACTAAACCGCTTCCATTTTTTCAGCAAATAATAAACAATATTTTACATTAATGTATTATTAAATGAAAAGGCTAGCCAGCTTATAAATTGTTATTTTAATTAACATTACGTAAATAATAAATGTAAAAATGCAATATTAATTCTTTGGTTTTCATTAATTTCACTAATTTTTAAATAATCAAAATTTCATTAGTAAAATTATTAAATATTTTCGTTCATTTTGTAATTGAAATCCATTATTTCTCAATTATAATATTCGAAAGCATTGCGGCATCTGGGACATTTTTTCAAAACTATCGCCCTGGAGATCTTTCCACTTTCAATTAAAATTTAGTGCGGTTAAATAAAATGTATATAAGTAATGGAGCATCTACTTCTGCTAAGATTAGATAAAATTCAGTATGATCGCAATTTTTGTAATAAGTATGTAAGAAAAGATATAAGTATAGGTACTATACATATATAATATTAAAATTTATAATCGACAGTTATCTACTATAAAATATATGTAATCATATTTTATATAATACATATATACTTATGTATGTATTATAGCTTCTTTACCAAATTCCATTTACTATGCAACACACGTTCAATTATAGTCCTTTCAAATATATTATGGCATAAATTAAATTAATAATTTTTTTTTTGTTCGAAATTTTCCAAAAAAATTACAATAATTGTAAATGACTTTAAATCAAATAACAGCATGATATTTCAATTATACATGGGACATGAAAACATTTTATGAAAAAAAAACAACCAAAACAAAAGAAACTTCTCTAGCATATTTTTTTTTCTTACTTATAGACTTTAATGCATTCGAATATTTTATTTCCCTGCTTTCGATGTTCCACCAGAAAAATCAAAATAAACAAAAAAAAAAATAAAAATTAACTTTGATGGCAAAAATTCGCTTCAAGCAAATTTATGTAGTAATGAAATTAATGCTATTGTATTCCTCTACTAACAACAAAAACAAAAAAGCGGAAAAAAAATAGCAACGTTTCAATTATTATTTTGACTATGACTAGATTTTACTAAATTTCTATATATAAGAAAAATAGGAAGAAATATAAATTTTTGCGCAAAATAAAATTTCTAATAAATAAATTATAATCGAGAAAAATCTAGTTTAATTTTTATTACAAATTTCCACCGGAGGATTTTTTTAAGGAGAAGACCTCCTTTTAAGGTTTTTTTTTATATTAATAATCAATTCAAAAATTATAATAATAGTTTGGTAGGTAATAAATATTTCGTAAGAAAATTATAGGATACTTGAAAAATAAAATCATAACTTTTTAAAAGCTGTACTCAGTATCAAATTTGCAGCCAATCTGACTATAGTTGAGTACTTTATATACTGCCAAAAGAGTATTTTTGGAAATTGTAAGTGTTTTTTTTATTTATATAAAAACTGCTGCAACAAGTTCAGATTTCACAGATTGCGATGGGCTAGTTTGTATTTTTTAATTCTTTAGAAGTTATTCGAAATCTTCGAACATACTTATTCAAATAATTTCGATGTTTCGACACTATTCTATAAATTAAATTAAATGACACTAAAATTCTAAATAAAAGAGACCAAATAAAAGTGCACGTTGCCTGAAATTTCCTGGTGCTTAGACTATTTATTTTAATACTGATCGCAAGTTGTGCCATATATAATTTCAATATATATAAGTATATAATAAGTATAAGTATAAGTATAAAAAATTTTTAAATGTGAAAACATTTCTTCTCAAATTTTAGAAAAACTTGAATGAACGCATTTAAATTCAAAATTTTCATTCGCATAATAAAACTGAATATTATAACATCCTTGGAATTGTGTATTATTTTCCACTTTTTTTAATATTTTCAATACACTATAAAATATTTTCATTCACAATGAAATAAAAAACCAAAAATAAAGAGTATTTAAATTTAGCCTTAAGTCTTATACACGGTTTTGTGATGTTTTTTGTACATTTATTTTATAATAATACCGTTCTCAATATATACGAGTACTTATATTTAAATATATACATTGGTAGTCACCTTTCATTTTGTATATTACAATTTTCCAGTATACTTTTTGTTTACCATACAATGAACGGGTCGTTATTGGCTGCTTTACCGCAAAACCGCAAATCTATACTCTTGTTGCGCTTTTAACGACGTATTTTTTTCTCTTTTTTTTCAAGTTTTTATATTATATTTTTGTGGTTTTTCATACGATGATATAAAAATTGCATTTAGCCGCAAGTCATACTAAAAACAATAAAGCATAAAATTTTATAGCACAGCAAAGGCAATAAAAAATAGAGCAATGCATGAGAAATATTTACAGTTATTTAGAGTGTAATTTTTGAAAAGCTTTGAAAAAGCGTATAGTGACAAAAATACCGAACGACTGCCAATGCAATTTTCATGCGCTAAAGCTAAATAAAACCTTTAGCAAATCAACAGGTTGAAAGATAAAGTTGCCATATTAGATTTAAATTTTGAATTTGAATAAATTTAGGAGTCCGCAGTTTACACTTTCAAATTTTGGAAATAAGATAAATCTATGCGAACCAATTAACAGTCAACAAATTGTTTTTAAATGGTTTTAAGACTTTTTTTTACAAAATTACTGCTAATTATAATATTAATAATAAAAATTTTCTTCTCACTCTTTTAAGATGTAGAAAATAATATGTATTTGAATGTTGATGAAGTCGCAGCTCTATTTTATTTCGCTTACTGTAGCTTAAGCGGTGAAATATATAATGGCTGAAACATAAGACAATATTGTAAGAAATAATACAATTTTGAGAAAATGAAAATTTTAAAATTATAATAGAGAAATACGTAAACAATAAGATAATATTCAATGAGCAAAATAATGCAATGTATTGCAAAATCTTTATACGTAACTAGAGCTGCGAAATTACTATTTTATTAATGTTAGATTTAATTATAACAACAAATTACATTCAAAAATAAAAAAAAATGAAAAATAACTTTAATTCTCACCTGTGATCCCTAAGATGATCTTGACGTCGAAATGCTTTGCCGCAAATATCACATGAATATGGACGCTCATCTGTATGAGTACGCTCATGTATTAATAAATTGTACGATTTTGTAAATTGACGATTACAAAATTTACATATAAATTGTTTTTTTGGACGTGATGCACGTCCAGGTGCACGTAATAAACGACGATCTAAACCGGCATGCATACCAGGTACACCACCAGGAAATAAACTAGCTGCTGTTGGTGGAAAAGCAAATGTACCGGGGCCAGTTGGTGATGGTCCTGGACCACCTAAAAATGCTCCTGGCGGTCCATATAAACCAGCTGGATGTGGTGGTGGTGGTGGTGGTGGACCACCCGGTTGATTTACATTAGGCCTAGGTAAAAGCATAGCTGCTGCTGCAGCTTCTCTTAATGCTAATTCTTTACGTTTATCAGCCATCATCGCAATTATTTCATAACTAGAACCACCACGTTTTGCTGCAGCTACAGCTGCTGCATCTTTACCTAATGATTCTGATCCATCAAGCATACTGCCATAGAGGGCTGATGGACCACGTATATTTCGTGATGGTAAAACAGGAACAAACGCTGATTGCTCTCGATGATGTGATGATGATGGCGGTACTGATGATGGTACTAGACCACTCTGTGTTGCAGCTAAATGATGTTGATATGCTAATTGAGTTTCATAATTATTTGTTGTACTATTTGATGATGATGATCTACCACCAGATGAGCTACGTGAATTTGTTGTTGATTGTGTAGTAGATGTTATATTACAATTATTGCTATTACTATTACCGCTTCCATTTGATGTTGGTGATTGTAGGAACTGATCAATACGTGCTGATCTTACCAATGATATGGCATGATCTTCAATCACAGCTGGGCCTTCAGTTGGCATTTTAAATATTTTAATAATATTTTATTATTAAGTTGTAAATATTTTCTAATTTGTAATCTGAAAAAAGAAAAAATAAAGTAAAAATATTATAAAAACTGTTTCTGGAGAAAAATATTAATAATAAAAATTTAAGAATTTTTCAATGAAATATTTGAATTCATGTTAGAATTTTAATAGTTTATTGAAAATTTTAAAATTGTCTGGGAGGCATAGGCATTAATAATTAATTTATGTTCGAAAATTAAATCTTAAAACATAACTTTAATGATATTAAGTTTTCAGGTCTTAAGTTAGATTTATGAGTTTTTTCCGACAGTTTTTAATTTATGAATTCTCTGGGTTTTTTTATTTTTTTTGCAAACGACTGAAATATTCGCGCCAACTAGAAGTAATATTATAAAAAGTTTCATGAAGATTTACGATTTAAGAGAATGTTTAAAGGCTCTTCCATATGATTATTAAATTTTGAGTGAATTTTTACCAACAAATCTCTTATACCACATTTTCTTTGCTTTTGTTTTCATTTCTTTTGAAGTTTAGAATAAAACAACGCGAATTAGTGCTCATATACATAAAACTCAAATTATCATACTTAACTAACCAGAAAAGTTAATTACTGTATTATCAGTGAAAAGTCATAATAAAATAAAATTTATTACTTTGCAAATTTGCATCATTCGTTTATCTTGCACACTAACATCTACTCATATATTATATTACATAATGTTTTATAACAATTTTATTTTGTGGATGTGTTAAAAGTTGAAAAAAAAATTTATTACACCAAATTTGAATTTATTTACGGAGAATAAACCAACGTGTGTATGAAATAAATTAGAAAATTAAAATTGCATTTCGATTTTTAAAATTTCAATAACTTATTTTATGAAGTAAAGCTTTCATTTAAAATTTTGTTGCTCTACATGATTGTGCATCCATGACATTTGACGCTTTCAATGTAATTAATAAATATTTCGTTATATACTGAATAAGAGCTTATAAGGTGAGTGCGTTATACACTGCATGTACATAAATATTATGGTTGCTTAGTAATTGTATTTTGAATTTTGGAAGTAATCCTAAATATAGCTTTAGTATTAAGTATAATATTTACTATATAGATATTTGAATTTGACCTTAATCTATATTACGTATTGGATATTATTGTTTTAGAAGAAGTTTTGTGTTGTGGTGAAAAATGGCCTTAAATTTTAAAAATCCTTGTACTAGTTATAGATACTTTCATAACTAGACTCAAATTATATAGACCACATTGCGGTGAACTAAAACAAATCCGCAAATATAAAAATATTCACCACATAATGGTGACCTAAAAATATATTAATACTACATTATATCTTTACATTGAAACACATACACAATTTATCAATCTTAATTAAGTAAATATTATAATGTTTTGAAACAATCAACTTGTAATAATTAAATAGGCATGAAATTGTGTGTTTTATGGACGATTTATTTTCAATAATAGCAGTAAAATTAATATTATTAACACCCCAATTCGTCGCTTATATTGTAGAAAATTGTATATTTATATTGTAGAATAATAAAAATTAATCAGAATCTTTAAAATAGTTTTATTAAGAATATTAGGAACTTATTATTTAATTAGAACAATTTGAATTTAAAACTATAATCAGAATAAAATTTAAGAAGATTGGTTTATATATTTCGAGTTAAGTGGAACCACCACTTGCATTATTACGTACATATTTATTAATTAATGTTAAATTACACAAAATATGAAATATATTCTTTTATTATTCAATTTTTATTGCCCAACAGAATGTTTAAATTTGTACAGTTGAACCTGAGAAAAAATGAAATCCCGAAAAACATTTATCGGCCCGAATAAGGCCACTAAAAATCCCGTAAAAACATCTACGTTGTTATGCATCATAATTCAGTTGCATTATCAAATACAACAACAATAATTCTATAATGCACGTTCAAAGAATCTTAAAATAGCAATTAATTTCTTGTTTTCATATAAGTATGGATTTTTTCTTTATTCTGACAACTTAATTATTTTGACTTGTACGATTTTTTGTGCGCTCTTCTAAAAATTTTGTAAGAGACCATACTTCTGTTCAAGGTAAATAATTTATTATAATACATTAAACTGCATAAAATTGAGAAAAGTTTGTGAGTTATTAATAATTTTTTTACAAGAGAATTTTATCTTGGAAAAGCCTAGAGTTGTATGAATATTCCAATTTACGTGCAGATGTAGATGAAATATCTTAAAGTAGAGAGAAAGGAGCATGATTAGAATTGTGTGCTATGGCATAAAGAAATGCAAAATATACAAAAAGAGGATGTTTGAATAACCATAGAGAGAATATTTAATATAGATAACAGAAATGACTCTTTTTTCCGGGTTCAACTGTGATACAAAATATTTCTCTTTCCATAATAGAATTAATCTATACGCTGAACACTTTAATTAATTTATCATATTTTTTTATATTATTTTACTATTTTTATTTTTCGCCGTACAAAAACAAAAAGTCATTTAAAAATTATATTAAGTTAAATCAATTTACTTGGCTATAATATGTTTTATATAGCTATCTTAATAATATGGTGTTTATAAGTAAATACAAGATGTAAAATATTATAAACATAAAATGTTTTTACACGTATATGGTATTCACCTGTTAACACACCTGCAGAATTTTATTTTTTTTTTTAGTTTTACTTAAAAACAAAAAAAGCAAGATAAAATAAAAAAAAAATTATTAATCAATAGTAATAACAATAAAATATTAAAAGAGAAGAGTTGAAAATATCTATGGCATGGCAATATACAAGTATATTTTGAAAAAATACGAGCAAAGTAATAATATTCAGCGAAAAAAAAAACGAGAATATTATTAGCGTGAACAAATAAAAAAAAAATAAAGTTTTTGATTTTTATATTGTATTATTTTAAAACTATAGTGAATTCTGATGATCATCAACATCAACATCATCATAGTACATAATATTTATAATCGATTGAATATATTTGATAGTCATCAAATAAAATATTATGATGTACGTCGTATGTGTATGTGTAATGATTATTATTACTGAATATCATCATCATCATCAACATTATGATCATAATCATCGTGATCATAACCATATAACTTGATCCGAATCATTTCCAATCGAAAAGCACAATATCAATTTTTTTACTAGCCATTTTAGCTACTGTTAAATGAAACTTAAGCTACCGTAAAAAATAAAAATGTGAAACGAAAAAAATAAAAAATAAAAAAAATAAAACAGACAGAATTACTAACTTCGGTTTTTATTTCTTTTTTTTTTTTTGTTTTTTGAATCGTATATAGTGGTAAAAAAGAAGCAAATTTTTTTTTGTTTTGTTATCTGGGTGCCATTATAATATTTTGCTTAATTTAAGTAAAAAAAAAAAAACAAAACAACAAAATAATGAAAAAGTCTGAAAGCAAAATATTAACAACTGCTGAATTAAGTATATTCACCTGAAAAGGTGTTGGTCAGGTTGTTGTTTCTTTTTTTTTGTTTTTCTTTTGTCTTTCTTATCTTTATTATTATAATTCTTTCTTTTAATTTTAATTTATCGCTTTAAATTCGGCGAGTTTCGTAAATCGTGTCATAAGTATTTTGAGACAATAAAATAAATAAGAAAAACAAAACATAGTTGAATTTTATAAGGGGAAAAAATAACGAAAAAAAAAAAAATACTAAAGCAATAAACGCCCTCTTTGGTTTTTTAAAATAGTAAGTAATCAGTTCTTTCAGTTTTCACAACTCATTACTTTTTGAGAACAAACAAGAAAAAAATTTTTATTACGATTGATTGAAGGTATTACAAATTTCATCAAATTATTTACGCATTTAAAAATCAATATTAACCCGTTAAATTTCATCAATATTAATCATGTAAATTATGTGATACTCGCACGAAAGAATTCTTGAAGTCATACTGAACTATGGTATAGGTTCCATATACAATATATGAAGGCTTTTAACTAGAACTAAATTTTGGAATTTTAGAATCAAAATCTTTGTTGGGTATACATGTAAAATTTGAACACTATTGCCCAGTACGTAAACACCTTCGTAAGTATGCAAATTAGGCCGAGTAAAATTTTCGATATTTGAATAAAATATTTTGCGAGATGCATACTGAAAATTTTAATAAAACTAAAAGCGGAAATTTAAAAATTTTTGCAATATTGGACGTGTTACTTTACTATACAAAATATTTTTTGAAAATTTGCGACAACTCTATTGGAATTGCTCTCCAAATTACTTTCAAATTATATTAAACATTTTGTTGATGGGAAATAACATTTTATTAAATCATATACCCTATGGTTATCGGAAATAAACTTCATTAATTGTTAACATTTTTAAATAGGAAAAGTTGATCTCAAAAGTAAAAACACTTCAAAATTATTCAAACACAAGAAAAAAAGAAAAAGAAAAACAATAATAAATTTAGCAAAAAACGAATTAAAAGCGAGGGAGAATTACAATATTAAATTAATTTTGCTATAAATAAAAAAAAAAAAAAACAAAAAAAAAATAAAACAAAACGAAAAGTTGTTCTCCCGGAGATGAGCTCTTAACTGACAGTTCAATTCTTATGTGTACTGTTTTTTACGCTTCTTGATTTTCTTCAAAAGGAATGAATGATATTAAAAAATTGAAATAAAGTCACCGTCTTATAAAATAAAATTTTTTTTTTGTTTCTTTATTATTAAATTGTAAATTATACAAAATAATATTATGAAAATCAGTTTGCAAGTAGGTGGTAAATATTAATGCAAAGGTGTTAAAATTTAACTACCGTAAACTTAGTACAGACATGTGTACACATCTATACGTGTATGTATAGAGTTAAATTGAAAAAAATACAGATGGCTTGGATTTTAATTGTATTTAATGATTTATAATCTGCGAAACATAATTTTTGTGTGACTGTAGTTACTTTTTTTTTCGTTTAATTGTTGAGAAAATTTCTTATTGTATTTTTATTTACACTCGTATGTTTGTTATAG